CAACCCCCTAAAGAGCTCGGCGGGCCGCCGAGCACGTTTACGGGGTAGGGTACCGGCACACCCCACAGACAAGCTCAAGTCTGGACATTCCCTTCTAAAGACAAGCCGCCTTTACTTTCTACAGGGTTGGACGACCCCCCTCAGTTGGAGGTTCCAGCCATAATCGTACAAGGAAGTTTGAGGATATGCTATCCTGATCAGTTGCTTGGGCTGCAAAGCGTGAGGGTCAGATAAGGGCATGGCTGGCCGATTAACAAGTGGGCTGCGGCAATGTTGTTTTTGGTCTTTTGGCTGGCCCTGTATAAATGCCATAAATGCCCTGGCACTTCTTTCTTTCGCCTCACAGCAGCATGGCTCGAGCGTTTGTGTTGGCACAGGCACTGCCATGTCTGGCACACCCACGACGTTTTTTGCATGCCCAACTGGCGCCAGAAGTCTTACAAGAGCTGATTCCAGAGACGACGTTCTCCAGCAGGGACGAGCTGCAACGTGGCTGCTCAAGTACGGGCTTCGGGCATTCTGGGCAAGTCGTTTCTTTGGAGGAGGTGCGGAGCTTAACGTTGGATTTCTACAGCAGTGGCATGCCTTTGCTGTCGAGCTATCAGGTGGTTGAGGCGATTTTGCAGAAGAAGCGCCAGGTCGCAGCGGTTTGTCCCATGGCCGTGCTCCAGGCGATGCTGCTGCAGAGCGAACGCCTGCTGCTGCAGATCTACACCTTCTCGGCCGACAGCTCAGAGAATCACGCGGTTCTGTTCAGCGAAGCTTCCGCATTGAACTTGGAGTTCAATGCCTTGCGCGCCTGGCTGCAACAACAAATGTCAATTCGTAGTGGGAGCGACGGGAGCGACGGGAGTGACGAGATGGGTTGGCCCTTGGGTGCTGGCTGGCGGAGGGCGCAACGTTACTATGATTTGCTTTGGCAGGATGTGTATGACTCCGAGGACACTTGGCAAATTATGGAAGATCCAGGGGAGATCTCCGACGACTTGTACCACACTGCTTTGCAAGACGTGGCCGATGTGCTCGGAGCGTTATCCTTGGAATGGTGGCCGTGCCGCGGGACCTTGATCGCCTTGCTACGCCACGGGGCTCGGTCAGGCTCGCTCTCCCGCGGTTTGGTGGACGTTGTTGAGCGCGACATCGACTTGATGATTGGTGTTTCCAGCGAGGCGGACTGGCAACCCACCGGCCGTGCCATTGAAGCACAGCTGCTGAAGAAGGGCTGGGACCGGTGTTGGACCAAGTCCTCAGCCAAATTTGGCAGCGACTGGCAGTTCGCTGCACGCAGGGATCTTTTGTATTGTGTCCGCACGCGTCCCGCATACATGATGCTGGACGTGACCTCTTACATCACCTCTGAAGAAGGCTATGTTTATGTGCATCGGTTGTGTAAACCCGATGGTGCAAGCGGTGCAAGCGGTGCAAGCGCTTGTCATGTCCCCCGACTGGGGCCTTTGCAGGGCGCAGACGGCAGCCTGCCCAAAGCCGCCATTTATCCGCTGAAGCGGTGCCTGGCAAAGGACCAGGCAGTGCCTTGCCCGAGTCGGCCCTTGGAGACCATCCAGGCGATGCGCCACAGCGGCTTGGAGACGTCCTGCATCGCGCTACCTGACACCAAAGGTCGCCAGGATGAAGCGTCAAGGCACTTGGCAAGGGCAGGGCTTCAAGCTGAGGATCTCCGAATCCTGAAGGAGCGCTCTGCTGAATTGGACCGCCGTGGCTTCCAGTCCATGTCCCCATACTTTGCCAACTGCACCAAAAGTCAAGGTCGCATCATGTCGCATCATGTCGCATCATGTCGCATCAAGTCCTTAGATGTTCCATAGCTTTACATTTGCATCAGCGCGCTGTGCTGCGCACGATCGCACGCGTTTGCGGTAGCTGCGTGCTTCAAACATGCGGTGTCATCCTGAAGAACATGGCAGGCTGCGCAGGTCGGAGTGCCCTTCCCAGCTCAGCCCTTGCCTACTCTTGCGCCTGCGTAGCTGCCCCAGGTGCACGCTGCACGCAGAACACATGCATAAATGAACCACATGGTGACAGGATGTGACAGGTGCAATGCGGTGCACAGATTTCTGCAAGTGCATTGCATTCATCACTGCATCCCGTGCGCTAAGGCAAGGCTCTGAGGCCCTGAGCTTCTGAATGTCGCACTGCCACACAGAATTGCACTATTTTGCACTGCTTTTTTTCAGATTTTTCAGGCTCGCATCCTGAAGCACAACAGCGGCTTGTGCGCTCGGGCCCCGATGCCTTTCGGATGCAACGGCTCTCGCGTTGACGAGATCCCAGGTCGGGCCTGAGGGTGCCCAGTACGCCCGACCAATGCGACATGCAACATCATGCAACATTTTAATGAATGCAGCTGCTGTGGCATCCGTGCGGATGCGTGTGACGAATCAAACTTGCCAGGCTGGCTTTAGTCGAATGTGGCGCAGGATTCGCGTGGTCCTGAGACACATTGAGACCGTGTGTTCTCATAATTTCTCATGTCCCCGTTGTGCTTCAGTAATTTCTCAAGCTTGATGTTCCAAGGAGGGCATCCGAGTCTTCGCGGCTGGTGACAGTGTTCAGCTCCGTTTGGGCCCGGCAGCCAAGGCCGTTTTGGTTCTTGGACGTTCTTGGATTTTGGCGGCTGTGGTCGCTTTGGTCCATGGACACTTTGTACCCCTTCGAACTTGAAATGTTGAGCGCCCGGTACAGACCGACGTCCAGCAACTTGCAGGTGCCGTCATGCCGTCGTCATGCCGGTCACCGCCGTTTTGCCATCTAATCGGTGGCGTGCATTGCCCAAACAAAAAGCTTTTGTTGCAGTGGCTGGGGCTCACAGTCCACAAGGAACCTTGGTCAGGGCAAAGCAGATGGTATTCAATGCCATTGGCCAACAGCTACTTCATTGCCCATAGACGTGGGCTCTCCAAAGGTGAAGTGCTTCGAAGCTCGGAACGCCTGTCCGGTCCAAGATGTCGTGCGGCACATTCTGAGGTTCGAAGTGTGCAATCGCTGACGAAGCCGACATTACTCTTGCAGCCTGTGGGCACGAGACCTAGCCGATTGCGACTGAGATGTAATAATATACATATACCTATATATGATAAAGCATGATAGTTAGTTGTAACAGGGATGACTGAATGATGTCAAATGCATTTGCAATGCGTTTGATTCAGGCGCAACGGGTTGTTCAAGAAGGTTCTGGTGGGCACCGACCTCTTCTTGCTACAGCATCTGGACTCCAGGAGCTCAAGTCAGCCGCGAAGCCGCAGTTAGCTCAAAAAAACGGGTTTCGGGATTGCAGGAAATGCGTGGTTCCAGTCGGAAAGCCCGGGCCCTCGGAAAGAACAGCTCACTCACTCTCGCCACTTTCTCCACTTTCTCCACTCCCTCACTGCGCTTCTCAGGGCGGTGGATGGCACCCGTTTGACAACGCACTCCAGCTGCGAAGGCCATGCCGTGTGGCCATGTGTGGCCATGTGTGGCCATGCATGGCCATGCGTGACCACGTGGCAAGCGAATGCGCGGTCAGGAGACAAAGCCATCAATCGCTTTCAGACCTCGGAGGCCGTGACGTGCGCACGCCACGGGCGAAACAATCTACACGCCAGGCTGCGCACGTGGAGGTTCCAGTAGAAGTAGCGTCCTACAATCCGCCAGTGGCACCTGTGGCGCCAAAGCCGCAGGCACGTGACATACTCGGGACAGGGTTTGCCTGAAGCTAGCTAAGGCCTCTGGAGGCGTTCAAGACACACTGGTCCACTCAAGTGGGATGTGCGCCTGGCACATAGTGCCTTCAAAGCCAGTCCTGGCTGATGTTGCCTTTGGGCTCAGGTCAAGGCATCTGAGGATGTCACCGGTGAGGACTCCACTGTGTCAGAACCTGAAAAAGTGGCTTCAGTGGCTTGGGTGGCTTGAGTGGCTTGAGTCGCTTGAGCGTGCTCGGGGCCTCAGCATCGGCATGCCTCGACGGCAGGCTTGTCTTCTCTAGCTGTGATGACGAGCCTGACAAGCGCTTAGCGCAACAACGGAGTGTGTAGTTTGTTCAATGTGTGTTTGTTCTTTTGTGCGCCTAAAAGCGGCCAGGCCAAGAACATCAAGTTTGTGAAGTCTGGCGGTGTGTCTCGTTTCCAGCTAGGTGGGCGGCTTGGGGAAACCGCCGTTCTTTGTTTCTTTGCGGGTTGCAAGCTTTCCAAGGCCGGCAATGCGCCCATCCGGAGACGGGCCCCGATGCCTCCTCCGAGCCGCGCATGGCGTTTCCCGCCGACTGCTTGTCTACCAGGCCGGGCGGGCACGAACGCATCGCATCCATGGCCCATGCCGTCCGATTTGTCTATGCCTCGCTCTCTTTTCGAGGCACTCCTTTGGGTACCGGAAGCTCGCGGAAGATGAGCGCCTGGCCGGCTTCGTCATACAGTCCACGGGGCCAACCACGCCTGCCCCCAAGAGAAAACATTGCACAAGCAGGGCGTGAATCAAAGTAGATGAGGCACTTGAGTTGCGTCGGACCGTTCGAATAATTGCAATCCATAGACGTAGGAAAGCCATCACGAGCCTGAGTCACTGAGGCTCTGCATCCACCCCTTCCAAGGCAGCGAGAGGCGCCTGGGTGCAGCCCACTGCAACTCACGCGCTGCGTGCCAGTGCGCCAGGCCCAGCGACGGGACGGAGCTGATCAACCACCAGCAGTGCGACGCAGGCTTCAGAAAGCGGCATACCCATAGCATATCATAGCATGTTGAATCATACTGTGTAGAGATGGTGGTATGTGTCTTACCCTTCTCCCGAGGTCGCCAGGCCTTGCGGTTCCGCGTCGGTGATCCAGCCAAGCTTGCTTCTGAGGACAGAAGGATGCATGATACGGAGCCTGAGGCAACAAAACATATTGACAACATTGACAACATTGACAACATTGACAACATTGACACTCTTCAAGACGATGCATGATCCCTAAAGGCACATGCGATGCGTGGCGCGGCAAATTGCTCAGTTTCTAGATTTGTCCCGTCATGGATGCCGCGGCAAAAGCCAGAGCTTTCTATGAAAATGCGAAGCTGTGCATGTTCTTTCATGCTGAGAGCCCAAGATGCAAATATTTGTGCAGAAACGACACACCGTTCAGATAGGATATGTTTCAGGTTGATTGATCGGTTCTGTCCAATTGCTTGATCACGTTCCTTTCAGCACATTGGCTTCGCACAAGCCACACAAGTCCCAGGAATGGCAACACGAAAGAGTTCGAGATGTACCTTGATGCCGTGGAAGATGCAAACGTGAGGGATGACTTTGGCCGGACACCCTTGCAACTTGGTAAAGACGGCACAACAAGCAGGCAGAGAACATGGGAGAACTAGATTTAAGAAGTTTGGCTTCTTGAGGCACATTGCGGCTCTCATGGGCCATGTGGACATCGCAAAGATTCTCTTGGAGTTCCGTGACTGCAATGTCAACGCAGTGGACAGCCATGGTCGTACACCTTTGGGCGTGGTTTTACAAAACGGCGACACTAGAACCGCGGAGCGCGCGCAGATTGCAGAGCTGCTGCGTGAGCACAGGGCCATCGAGGCCACGTCTTACACCAAGATGGGGCCCACGGGCCCTGCTTGACGCACATGGACACAATGTAAGATATTGTGAGATATTGTAAGATATTGTAAGATCAGAAATGTCACGGAAGTCTTGCAAGTTGGAGTCTGTCTCTGCTCTCTTCGTGAAATCGCAAGCGACCCTGCGTGACGGACCGCTGTCGCCAGCGCGGTCCTGGGCAGATGGTCAAAGCGCATGCTCTAAAGTGGAGCAGCGTTTGCATCGCTTGCCCGTTTCACCTGAAAGGGCTGTTCGGCTGTCCAAAATCAAAGCACTGCGATTCGATGCCGTGCTTCTTTGCGACCAGATTTGATGTACGCAGGAGGTGAAGCTGAAGGTTTTGGGAAACCCGCTCATCCCTGTGCCGAGCCAGGCCATGCCAAGAGAAAGACTTGTGAGGCTAAGCTGAAGCCATGCGTCCGTCTGAAGCCTCGGGAGAGGAAGCTTGCAGCTACTACGGCGAGGGCCGGTCGCAGAGTACGGATCTTAGCTCCGATAGGATCGCGTTTTGCATGTTGGTTTCCGCTGCACTTCCCGTCGAAAGCGAGGTGTGGTTTTTATGGTTTTCGTCTTAGATCTCCTTTTCGAGGCAGTCGGCCGGGGAAGCCCTGCATCCCACCGCCGCCATTTTGGCCCTACAAAGGCCTCACAGGGATTTCGCAGCATCAAACATGGCACGGACACGCCAGGCCTCACAGAGTGGAAGACTGAGCTCGGCAGCCGTGCATTGGCAGCTGTGACGTACCAGCCTGAATCATCTGAATCTCAAGACCTGGACCAAAATGCAAGACTCCTGCAAACTCTTGCAAACTCATTTGATTCTTTGACATTCTTTGGCATTTGACATGTGACCAAGGCCATTGGAAGAGCTTACCGGTCGATGCGGTGGATATTACCTTTTCGGCTGGCAGCCTAGCTTCCAAGCCTGGCATCGAATCGAAAGGCTGATTGCCGAGGCGACCAGACTTGGTGCAACGAAGCCTTTGATGGCCGGACCAGTTTTCCATTCTTAAGCAGAATCTCCATCGCCAGGTTCCCATGGCTATGGCAAGATTGGCTTGTCCTTTGGCATTGAGGCGGGAAGAGGCGGCGGTGAGAAGCTTGCATCGAGCTACTGAGGAGCGGGACATTTGGGGGGAGCTCGTGACGCAGGACACGGCTGCTGCATCACTTCACAGATGTCTCATTTTCAATAGTCATTATTCGAAATTAAAATAAAAATCCGGACAAATTACTTAGATCATACAATGCGAAGTCTAAATTTTCATTATGTTCATTCAGTTTCCATACGTGCTCATTCCTCTTGGCAGAAATTCGGGCTGCCCGTCAAGCTTTTCGATTGCCAGAGCCCCAACACCAAATGAGAACTCTGACTTCTGAAACTTCTGACAAGCGCAGGTTTCATTGAGCCAGAGAAGTCTCCACCAATTGCTGGCACCCCGTCGGGTCCTGAGCCACGGAATGTTCGAATGGCCAAGGGAGACCGGCCCATGTCCGAGGCCCAACGGCACCAAGTGCCCCAAAAACCACGTGGGAGAGCCAAAGTTGCGGCTCAGCTTGCAAGGGACGCGCCGTCTCACGGAACACGGCATTTGCATCCTGTGTCAAGCTTGTGCCAGGGACTACATTTGCTACGGGGCGCCTTACCAGTCCTTCCGGCTTTGCCTGGCAGGGCAGGCAAGACCGCAAGAAGGTCCCTTGAAAGCCATGCGAGCCTCAGGAAGTGAAAGTTGATGGCCGGATGTATGGCACTCTGGAGGCGCAAAATGATTGGAGAAGGCCTTCAAATTGCAACTCGAAGTGAGGCTCAGTTGCGTGGGTGGCCGAAGCTCTCCGTTCATCTCAAGATCGATGCGGAGAGCTCGGAGAGTTCGGAGAGTTCGGAGAGGCTTGGAGAGGCTCGGTTTTGAGACCCTTGAGGTGGAGGGTTCAGAGTGGGATGTTTTGGAATGGCGGCCAGCTTAGAGATGGCCGGCCAGATGGCCGGAGCTCAAGAGAGAGGGAGAGAGAGGGAGAGAGAAACATATCTCTTTTCTGCCTTGCTCTTCTCATTTGTTGTAACTTGCGCATCAAGCCCAGCAATGGAAGAGACAAAGCGCTTGCTCCATGATGGCCAACAAGCTATCCTGCACTGCCTCAAGGCCCACGAGGGGCGTGAATCATGACTCTCGTTCCGCTTTGTGGTTGTTGTGGGTGACGTGTTGCCGGGCTTGGCCGTTTGGCTAAGGCGCGAATTGTTCAAGTGCCCCAAAAAGTCAAGAAAAGCCAAGGCCATGTCTGACAGTGCAGTGCCATGAAGCTCCGCTTGTTTTCTTGGCCTGGATGATCTCAAAGTCGCATTGGATATCTCAAGTTGCTGATCCACACCTCGGCATGCGCAACGCGTATGCGGTGCGCTTGCCATGAGCATGTGTCCAGGCGGCGAGCCGGGACGACGCGGCAGAAGCATTCCAGCTGCTGCGTCGCGGCGCCGTCCGCCGGGCTCAGAGCGGGAGAATGCGGGAGATACGAAGAGACCCAGAGGAACTCGAAAGCGGAAAGCCAAAGGATGCAAGAAAGATCTGAAAGGGACGGGAGGGCGACGCGGAGAGCGATTGAGAGCGGCTAGAGGTGCAGATAGCAGTCATGCAGAGTTGCTGCTGGAGCTCGAGCACAAGCGCCAGGCGCACGAGTATATGCAGCGCAGACTTGACACGAGTCACGTCATGTGGTATGTCGACACGTAGTGACGTAACACGAAACCACGTATCGTATCGGCATTGCGGCGTGTTCGAGGTGATGACTTTCCTTGCCGAGTTCTCCCAGAGCCGGAAGTGCCACCGACGGCGGGGCGCGCATAATGAATGGCACATATCACCCTGACTGCCCTTAGGCAAGCGAGCAGCGTGTTCCGGATCCTGTTGAAAGAGCAGGTCTGGCGAGATGCGGCTGAGGAGAGGGAGAGGGGAGAGTCACCGGGGGAGAGTCTCGTAAGCGTACGCGCCAAGCGCGTGCCAAGTGCGTGCCACAGGAGGCCTCCATTTTGGACATGTTGCCAGAGGACATGCGGGACGTGCGGGAGCTGCTCGGCGAGAAGCCGACCCCGGGCAAGGCTCAAAGAGCGTATTCTATCCCTTGGATATTGTGTATCATGCAGTCGGTAGTTCCACGCGAGTTGCGGTTGGCAGTTGCATTTTGATACATTGCATACAATTCATCCCGTGGTCAGCGGCCAGCTCTGCGCAGGCGCACGCCGTGCCGCATGGCAGGAGAGTTGCACGCCCGAAAATAGATCCATCGCGCATGTTTCTTTGTTTGCCTTAGCCTCGGCACCGGGCGGCGCGGCTCCAAACTCTACCGGCGAGCGGCGCATGTTTGGGACTCTCCGTTCCATCAAAATTCAAATTCAGGAACTGGTGACGAGGGCGTATTCTCCAGGGAGGTTGGCTGCTGGCTTAAGGTTGGAGGTTGGCTCAGGGAAGTGGGGAGACTGCCCAAGAAAAGCCAAGACCGACATCAGGTATTCATATTGGAGCGCGTTGGGACATTTTGCGCTTGCTTGTCCCCTTCGGTCCCCTTCGCACCGTGAGGAGCTCAGCTTTAGAGGCGGTGCTTGAGGCGACAGCGGAGCTGCAGCAGCTGGACTTCCAGTGCGAACCGCAGGCCGCCGCGGCGGAGGCCCTCACAAAGCTCTGTCAAGCGGTGGCCCTCATCGTTCAGTTCCAGGTCGGGCTATCGCGCTACGAGAAAGCGATGCGTGCGAAACTAAAATCAGTGAATGAAAGTGACACGACAGTGCGCCAGTCAACTCATGCATAAACCTTAGTGGCGCGCAAAAAGGCCAAAGCGTTTCCAGGCCCCAGTTTGAAGTGGGACATAATTTTCAGACATGGCTTGTGTGAGACGCGCTGACTTGTACGCAAATGTATTTGCAGGTCCCGATGGTTGCAGACGTGGGGATCCGCCTAAGTCTTGCTGGCATCCTTGTTCTCAGCCTTTTCTAGAGATGCCCCAAGCTTCATTTGACGCTGGCACGGCCATCCTTGGAGCAAGCATCGCGAAAGCAAGAGCCCAGCAGTGGCAAGCACAATTGGAAAGGACTGGCGATAGTGCTTTCTTGCGGTGCGCTGTTGTTGCATTGACTGGCAAGATGACAGGCGCAGTCAGCCGGCCTTCTTACATTGCTTGCAACCAAAGCTGGCTTCAAGATTCGCAGAAGCGACTTCCTTCTAATTTCAATCCGTTCCGTGCCAATTGCTCCTACAAGAACTTACCTTACCTCGTGCGCCTTCAACCGCGCATTGCTTGTTGTGTCGGCACGCGTGCCGCAGCAACAATGGGAACGCCACTGGCAACAAGGATGACAGCAGCAACTGCAACTGCAGCAGCAGCAGCAGCAGCAGCATAGAACAAGACCAGTGTTCGAGCAACGGATGACGACCAAGCAAATATACAGTGAACGTTCAGGCTGAAAGACCCACTTTGCTCACGACTGATCCGGGAGCCAAGCAAAGGGGAATGCGGGAACACACTGGGCAAACACTTTGCAACAGGTTGCGTGCACAATTGTTTAGGTTTGAGTCTAGCCTTGTTCGACTGGATAACGGTGGACGAGGCCAACCCATCTCCAGCCCCGAGGGAATTAGACGATTGGTGCCCACACTACCGTTGGCATGCTGGGAGATGCAGCACGAGGCGCTGAGTGACTTCTTGTGGCATTTTGTGGAGCACGCCTCTGAGGATGGCAAGAAAGTTTTGCTTCGGCGGTCTGTGACGGAAAGTGTTTTTCCAATTGGGCGTTCAGGGACTTGGCACCAACCGGCAGCAGCAAGACAGAGCCCGTGCTGTCCTTTGACGGCGGGGGGACACCGACGAAGCACATAATTGCAAACAAGTCTATAACGCGTTCCTTCAAGGCTCTTAAGCTCGAGGTGAACGCGCTCTTTGCAAGACGTGCGGTTGGCTCCGACGCGAGCCTGAGATCAACAGCTGCAGCGACAAGCTCTACCAAGCTCCATCCGTGCACGGTGCAAACGGTGCCTTCGCCCAATGGAAAGAGGCAGGGAGAGCTCCCCCCACCGGCCGCGGCGCCGCGATGTGGAAGCCCCACGGGCGACGCCACTTGCGTCGGTATCCCGAGCGAAGATGCAGGCAGCCCTGAGCTCGCCCAACGCGCAGACCCAGAGCCAAGGCCTATAAGAACCGAAAATGTCAGCCTCCGACGTTGTCTGCTCGGGTCCTGATCTCAGCTCCCGAGGCGGGTGCGTTGGCCTGTGCTGGGCACGCCGCATATCTTGAAGCCATTTGCTGATCTGTGCGTCCTTCCTTTTTCTCTATAGAACTAACATCTTTTAACATCTCACCTCCAACAAAGCTCCAAGTTCCAGGCTCTCTTCAAGGTCCCAGTCCGCGGCGGCTTCAGACACGGCCGGCATCAGGGCCCTTGTCGAGAAGGGCTGGATGCGTCAGCTCAAAGTGGCAATCTGCCGACGGGCTCCCCAAAGCATAAAGTGAACAACGTCCGGCCTTTCCAGCTTCGCAACGCAAAGTTGTGATACCGGATTACATCGATCAAGATGCTCGTGCTAGCCATCGGCACGATTGGCTAGCACAGGCCAGGAAAGCGCTCAGCGAATGATTGAGATTCTCGAGGTGAGCCTTGAGTTGCTCCCTGGCATGTAGTCATACGTCCGAGAAGCAATTCACGCGCGGCATTGGTGTGGAGAGCTGGCTTTCCATAGCAACGACAACAATGGAGCTGCTGAAGGCTGCCACTTGCCGAGCTGCAGTTCCCATTGCTCAATCAATTCAAGTCCACACAGCGCAGTTCAAGCGAAGCTGTTGCCACACTTCAGCATGGCCGTGCTTTCAGTTGACGGCGGGCAGCAAAAACTACACCCTCTACTCCGCGAACCTGTTGTTTTTTAGGGGAAAGCCCGGCTGTTTGGAATGCGAGCTTACGGGTTTCGTACGGTTTCGTGCGGTTCTACGGATACGATCGGATACGGGTTTTTGTCGCCAGAGTCGCGAGGCTGAGGAGCTGCCAGAGCTGGCGAAGCTGGAGCCAAAGTCGCAACTGCTGCATTTCCTTTTCGCTGCTCACGGCTCCTTCCCCTACCACCAGCACCAGGCGGGGACGCCCCCCATCCCCCATCCCCCTCCCCCCCCAGACATGTCATGAAAAGCACATTTGAACAGCGACCTTTGATTACTTTGATTTTCAGGTTCTTCGAGCTCTGGAGGAGTTGCTGGCCATAGATGCCTGGCGGGACGCAGCTGAAAGAGATGAAGACCTCATGGAAAGCCTCCGCACCCTGCATGTCGCCTACACCACCCCTAGCTCACGCGCGTCTTCGACTGAGGCGACGCGGCGACCGATATCGCCGATATCATTCGGTTCGCACGATCGAGCGTCACGCGAGGAGCTGATGGCCCAGCCGCATTTGTGCGCGAGGCTCGGACCCGCGCCAGGCGAGGTCTTTGCTCGCGCCCGCCAGGTGGATGTGGCAGGATGCTGGGAAGCGGTATGGGGGCATCATCGGGGCTTCTTAGTCACACATTTGGTGCATTTCAGCGCATTTTGTGCATTTCCACATGCGGATTGGGCAACATGGATGCCTCAGGCTGGTTTGGCGCGTCTCAACCCAACTCGCTGGAGTCAGGCACTTTGTATTGCCACAGCCTCAGGGTGTGAAAGGGACGATTTATATTTTTCCGCTTTCCTGAGGATGATACCATTGCCGACCTTAGCCAATATTTGGAAGGTTCACATCGCGACCGGCCAGTGAGAATTGCCTCTTGGCACGTGGTTGCTCTTTACTAAGTTTCACAAGCTGCAGGTACCTTATGTCATCAAGGCTTTCTTGCGGGAGCCGACTAGGGTCTCACAGGTGCATGCACGACACCCTCTGATGCAGGCGCCTGTTCATGGCTATCGGTTATGTCGACACGTGCGATGGGGCAGGGGACAACTTTCCGGCTGGGAGAAGCAACAAATGGCTGCTTTGGCTGGTGTACCCGATTTAGCTCATTGAACTGAGGAGATCGTGGGCGACGGGCGACGAAGAGTAGAAGCGAGCAGTGTGCACGACGCAGTGCAGACACTGATGGAACTTGGGGCATGAGCGGCACATGACCACGTCACGCTCGTTTGCCCCAAGCTTTTTAAGTGACTGATGACGCTTTTGAAGCCATGTGCCATAGCCCTTGAAGGGTGAGGCCGTCAAACCGCACCCTCGCAGAAAATGTGCTCGGGCAACCGCTTGGTTAGGTGTTCCTTTCAGAGTTTTGCCGCCGCAATTGAGAAAAGACTCGTCTTCCCATGGCTGTGAGAGACGCGACGGAACAATCCCGAGGCTCATTGACAACCCTGATGAATGGGACAAGGTCAGGACACTGGACATGGAGGCCAGAAACCAAGCCCCAGACTAACTTGAAAGAAACAAGCATCCTGGAACCCATCCAAAACCGTCCAAAACCGCACCCCAAACCACTTTGAATCCGCTCGAAACTCGAAACCGGGCCGTGGGGGAAAACTCCCAGAAACGTTGGAACAGCATCCCGGAGAAAACGGCCCAATATTTTGCGGGGCCTGAACTTTAGCAAGCTCGAGCCCTGTCAGATCCACTTCGGGTTCGGCTCTGCAGCCGAGCTCTCACAGTTCAAGGCACAGCGCCCAAGCCGAGCGCGCAGTCCACCTCAAACAATGCTCATCACTCAGGCCTTGGACCTCCAACAGAAGTTGACTCGACAGGAGCGGGCGCTTCAGGTGCATCAGGACTTTGGCATGGCAAGCGAGGTTCAAATCATGGAGGGCCTGACGCGAAGATTCTATTGCACAGGCCGGCTGAGTGCATGTGGCCGAAATGGGTGCTCAGTTTGTAGAGGCTTTAGAAAGCTGTTTGGAGGACCCGTTGGGGACTGCCTGCGACCCACACAAGCAGTTTGACATTCCCACGGGCTGGCATGTGAGCCACACTCAACGCAATGCCCTGGCTCAATCTGCCTTGGAAGCTGAAATTCGACCCAAAGCGCGGCTTGCACGATGTCGCATATTTTGCACACCATTTGATGGCCCCAAGCCGTTGAGTTGCCGATTGCCAGGTTCCACCCTGGAAGTCTACAGGCAAGGATGGAGCCCACAGGATCAGAGTTGCCAACTTTTTGAGCCCAGTGGCAAAGGTTCTGATTCATTGATTTTTGAGGACAACTGCGGCACAGAGCCATGCCACGAGTCAGATTCCTCAGATTAGAGGAAAGGAGTGCGAGCGAGATGCGCAGAGCCATGTGGCATGGGGCCTCTTAGGCCCCCTATCTACTTGCCCAACGCCTTCTCTGTCACTGCCTTCGCCGTGAGCTATGTGCTTCTCTCAGAGGAGCCGAATGCATTGGTCGTACATTGAACACACCATAGGCACGAGCCAAGTTCAATCAAACTCCATGCTGCCACCGACTCATTCGACTCATTCTGGTTTTCAAGGTGCACAAGGAGCTTGTGGGCTAAGCGAGCCCAATCGATCCACACGTGATCGACGGGTGCAAAGGCGTGCGTGCGCGAGTGATGCCAATGCATATCCCAGACTCTGTGCAAAATGGGGGTGGGAGCGCGCGAGAGCGAGCGAATGGGTCCGAAACGGGCCATAGATAACAAACAGACATGCCAGCCGGCCCAGCAGAGTTTTGGCTGCCGACTCTAGTAGGATGATCTGGCTCTTGCTCATTGGGCTTGCCGGGGGCAGCCCAAGTCCGAGCCCAAGTCCGATTGTCAGGAAGCTGGACGAGCCATGCTCTCAGAGCTCGTTCTTGGTCATGATCAGGGACTATGCGCCGACATGTATTTCAGCGTGCCCCCAGATTTGTTTGCCGTTGGAGGGGCTGATCACCAATGTGATGATGGGCGGGGATCCGTATGACACAATCTGCCCAGACTGGCAAACCTTTGACTGCATGGCCCGGCCAGATGTGCTAGCTGACTGCACCCCACTTTTGGATGCAGCTCTTTACTACATGGGCATCAACCTCCCTCGGTCAGGTGAAGAGCTGCATGAGGCCTGCCACGTGACGACTGCAGAACCAGAACCTGAAGGTGTCGCTCAGACGGAAACCACTGCTCCGGGCACAGGTCAGGACATGCAAGCTGCCTCGGCGTCCAACACCTCCGAGACAACGTCGCCTGAGACGTCTCAGACGACATCTCAGTCAACCACAGTCACGACAGTCACAGTGACGACAATCACAGTGACGACGGTCACGAACACCACGACAAGTGTCACAACCACCAGCAGTTTTGACAACTCGCTAGCATCCGCAGACTTGGAGACAAGCGTCACGAGAGGCAGCACCACAGCAGCTTGGGTTGGGTCAACTACCTTGAGCACAACGGTCGCTCCAACCACGACCACTTCGAGCACATCGCAAGCGGTGCCTTTGAATCAGACAGAGTCGACTTCCTTTGGGAGCAACGCCTTTGTTGTAGACGCTGCTCTCCAAAGTCGCGGGCCAAGTTGGAGAAATGCAAACGCCCACACTGCCCCCAACACTCCGCTCTGTCTGTTTTGGTTTGACCTAGGTGCTTTCCCTTTTGCGCTGCTCGCAGCCCTCACATGTGCATGGAATCCTTGACCCGGCCAATCGCATGGGTAATTTGCTGCACGAAACGGGTAAGATCACCGCACAAAGCGGTGCTATCTGCCAAGATGGCAGTGTGAGTTTGCCAAAGGCATCTCACGGCGCAATTCAATCGAGCACACGTGCCAGAGCCTCTGAGCCTTTGCGTTGGAAGGTGTGAAGCGGACTTGGAACAAGACCGCGGGCCATCGTTTCCAACTCAAAGCCACTGCAGTCACTGCAACCAAAATGTGGCCATATCTTTTCGCGCTGAACGGAGATTGCGAAGATCACAGATCTGTGCGATGGCTCAAGTTCCATAAGTCTTTCAGTTCGAGATAGTTCGAGTCTCGAGTTCCATATGACTCCATATCGCATGGAAAAGGGCAGGAGATGACTTCGAGCACTGCGAGCACTTCGAGTTCGAAGTACAAACTCTATTGGTACGATGTGTCCTTTGGCCAATATGTCTTCGAAGCCTCCGATACATCCGAGGCATCCGAGGCATCGGGCGGCCTCGCCCGCGTGAGCTCCGTCCAGGACCTGCTGGAACATTTGGAGCTGCTGTCGGGCGACAAAGAGATGCCGACGAAGCTGACTGTGGGGGGCCTGGCGCTCTTAGGTGGCAACCTGATCGCCCAAAGCCAATTCAAGGACACACATCGTGACGCACTGTGTGACACACTTTCTCAACCTTCAGTTTTGGTTTTATTTGTCGCGATGCCATTTTTGCGAAAAGCAACAAAGCAACAGTTTAAGTCTGTTTCTCCAGGAGCTGCTTCTTTTTGTGCTGCTGTATTTGGTCCTGGGTGTCTTCGGGACGGCCGGGAGCTGGACGGCGTCCGTGGCAAGGTCGGCCACTGTGGCACTGGTCGCTTACTTGGTGAAAGCTGTTTATGATGGAGTCTCCATGGAATGGGCGGTGCCTTGGAAGCAACTGGAATTCGGAATTCACAATACCCTTTGAAGACAGTACAAATACGAATTTCCGAATGATAAGATGGTCATTTTTGCGAGAAGGAGAGGCAAAGTCCGAGTATGTCTGACTTCGCTTGAGGTGACGGTCAGCGTGGTGATGTTCCTTGCAGTGATGGCCGTGATGCTTGTACGGATGGCCTCCAGAGAAGATCCTCGGAGCTATGTGTTGCTGGAGGATGAGGGTGATGTGGCGGACATCGATGCGACCTTTGGTCTTCGGAATTTGTGCTTTATGGACGTGAAGGTGTTGTGCTTTGACGTGGACGACAGGGTGCAATTCATCCCCCTGGGTGGTTTGCTGCCCAAGGACGCGGTGCTGCCCCGCAACGCCTGGAAGAGCTTTGCGCTCCGGATTGAGAGTCTCATTTGGTGAACGAGTTGAGTCGGAGTCGATAAATTTATATAGATTTGATAGATTTCGTTAGATGCTCGTTAGATTTCGTTAGATTTCGTTAGATTCGCATGAGTTAAAACAGGATAAAACGGTTCTGCTAGGCCGAGCGCGAGCGGTTGGTGAAGATTTTCTCGCCCTTCGAGACGGAGCTGGGCACCTGGCGCCTCAGCGGCCGATTCTCGCTCCGGGCCACCGCGCCCCCCGTGCACCTCAGCCCACACCCCAGGCGCCAAAACCCGAAATTCAGTGAAGTTTGCGGGGATATCAGGCACGTAGAAGACCAGATAATCAAAGGAAGTTTAGACGGAACTTCCGTGTTACGGCAACTAATTGAAAGCTAGCTTTCTCAGACAAATGAGCAGCGATCAAGAATGCTCAAAGCAATTTAAGTAAGGGAGCGCTGAAATCAATCCGCGCGGAAGGTTTTCTGCAGGCCGCGGAAGCTTGCGGAAGGGCCGGCGGACTTGACTAATTAAGAGATTTGCTGAATATTTTTTGGAGCGTCAAAAGCGTGTAACAATATGTTGCTCTCAAGTGATTTGGGCCCAACAGTTGTTTTCGCTCCCGGGCCAAAAAACAATACCCCGGGCTTGCAAGTAGCCTCACAATCTGTTTTGGCCGTCACCCCGCAAGGAGGATTCGAGGCCCCTCAAACTTCCGTTTCGAGGGATGGCTTTACACACTTTCCCGAGTCACCACGCAGGCCTCTTGGAAAGGGCTGGCTGGGCCGACATTTACTTTTGAATCGAAGCGGGGCAGCCAGGGCCAAAAAACGATTTGTTCGGGCCCAGCAAATCGTTTTTGCTCCCGGGGCTGAAAAACGATTTGTTCGGGCTAACAAATCGTTTTTCCTCCCGGGGCTTAAAAACGATTTGTTCAGGCCCAACAAATCGTTTTTGCTCCCGGGGCTGAAAAACAATTTATTCGGGCCCAACAAATCGTTTTTGCCCCGCTGGCTTAAAAACGATTTGTTCGGGCAAAACAAATCGTTTTCGCTCCCGGGTGCAAAAACGATTTGTTCGGCCCGAACAAATCGTTTTTAAGCCCCGGGAGCAAAAACGATTTGTTTAGCCCAAACAAATCGTTTTTAAGCCCCGGGGGCAAAAAAGTTGTGGAGGGCCACGCCTAGCAATAAATTGCTTTCATCCATACACCCCACCCTACATTTTTGTTCATCTTCCATCTTCTACCCTTATTCGTTTTCATCATTTTTCTACATTCCTTTTTGTCCACATCATCCGCTTTTTTCTCATCATTTTTTCCATTTTTTTCGCAATCCTTTCTCCTTCCTCCTCGCCTCATTCATTTCACCAACTACCCTTCAAAATATCATTTCCTCAATCTCCTCACCTCATCCATTTCAAAAAAATACATTTTGCAAAATATATTGCAACAAAAATATGTGTCATCAAAAAAAATCGAACTGTCTAAAAACGATTTGTCCATTTCTCGGACAAAAAATAGAACAGCAACAACATCACTCTCCTCCTTCGTTTCATCAGTTTCATCATATATTTTAATAGGCGTGGTCCTCCTTGTAGGATTTTATCTTCAGTATATAACACGCTTTACTTACATTATAATTATAACATATAAGGGTATAAATGTTATAATCATAGTATGGTTTTAGTCTATCTTATATTCAAGTATTAATATTTATCAAGCTCATGCTCGTAAAATAATTGCACAGCATTAATATTTATGTAATATCGATTCCTGATTTTTTGGTATTTAAATATGGGTCTGTGTTTTTTTACCGTGTCAGTTCTTGAGTCTTCGTGGGAGGTGGGGCTTGGGCGAGCCATACCTCCGAATCATACCCCGAACCATACCCCCGAGCCAGACCCCGAGTCATACCCCTTAAAAAAACACAAGAAAAAGGAACTTGCAAGAACTGTGGCATTTGCATGTTGACATGTCCACTCGCACACTCACTGGTTACTCGTGGGGGGCCATTTTGGCTCAAGTGGTGTTCCTTGACACTCGGTTACCCACCTCGGTCTCGGCTTGCTATTTTCAATGGAAAGTGCCAATGGATGGAGTTATAGAGCAATCCTGCGGATGTCCTGGTACTAGAGTTGTCTGTAGCATCCGTGGTGCTGTGGCGGGGGGGGTGCAGCTTGACGTAAGACGCTGGGACTTGCGGGGCGCTGTGGCGGGGGGTGCCGCTGCTGAGCTTGAAACTTGGAGGTTGCTTCCTGCAGTCTGTCCGACGCGGTGGAAACAGCTGTCTGTCCTGGGCCACTGTCGCAGTGAAACACAAGCTGTCTTTGTGCTACTCTTGGTGTCTTTCCGGTCGAAAAAATCTCCCCCGATTCATACCCCCGATTCATACCCGATTCATACGCCGATTCATACCCTTCTGCTGCCATTTGCAGCCAAGAGCCTCATGTGCTCTGGGCAGTACTAGCGAAGCTATGCCGCCCAAATCCTCAGAAGACACAAAACTCAAAGAGAAGCATTGCAGGAACCAGCTCGCGGCTCTTTTCGCAGAAGTTCGCCAGAAGGTGGGACACGGTACACCACCTGTGAGGCCCACTAGCCTCTGCGCGGCTGCCGTTTGAGGATGTCACGCTGTCCTGCCCTTACGCTGGTTGGCCTGACTGGGCAGCGGCGCTTCCCCTTCAGCAACGCTTGCTTGGGTCTGTGAGCACGCGGGTCGCTTGAACTCCAAGTGGAGGTGGCCATGGCGTTCGCCTCAAACAGTGGCTCCGCGCTTTCCACCTAGCGCAGCAGCTTTCGCTAACCCACTCACGCAGAGTGGCAGCTGTCTAGTTCAGGCCACTCACAAGCGCCCCAGGGTGGCTTGTAGCAACTAAGCGGTCCAAATTCTCACGGCTATCCAGTTGCCAGCGCACGGGAGCTTTGCAGTGTCCAAAGCCACAAAGCAAGAGTTCAGAGGCGCGCGAGCCATACCCCGATTCATACCCCCGAGCCATACCCCGAACCACACCTGCGATTCATACCCCTTATACCAACCTCCCGGCACGGCCACGTCAAAAAAACACATACCCATATACTTGAGTCTCCGAGGTGTCTCATGACCCGTGTCGCCCCATGACACAAGCTTTGTCCTGTAAGACTATGCACACAATGCATAGCTTCGCCGGTCAATTCCTCATGCGCTACAGCCCGAGGTGCCAGTACTGTGTCCCAAGTGTTTTGACCGACGCCATCGGTCAATTCATCATAAGTGAAGGATGCTTTCCCTCACTTCTTTTCAGACCAAGGTGTCCGACGCCGTCGGTCACTTCCTCGTTCCACGGTACAGCGATTTTGCTCGAATGGTCCATAGCGGCTCGGGGGCGCTTGTGAGATGATATTTATTTATACGAACCAGCGCTACGAAGACCCCGAATGGTCCATAGCGACTCAAGGGGGCGCATTGCGAAAGTACAACACCCCATCGTTACGAATTCGTGTAACGACTACTCCTAAGAAAACATGTTTGAAGGACCTGTCACGGGAAACATCCCGGAGGTCCTGGACAACGGAGAGGTAACTGACGGCACGCACGTCACTGCAGGGCAGCTGGCCCTCGCTCTGACACCCTACGCGCAAGTGGCTGACCTGGCGGTGAACACGGCAGCCTCCGGCAACAACGCGGCGGCCACCCAGTCCCTGGACGACCGAGTCACCACCGAGCTGGCCTCAAAGCTGGACAGCAGCGCACCACGGCGGCCATGAACGGCTCCATCGCCTCGGCCAACAACGCCACGCTGGCCACGGTGGCGGCCAACTACGGCCTGATATACTTCTTTTCGCAGAACTAATTTAGTTTCTATATTATTTATTGCCTGAATAAACTTATTGCATATGTTGGTTTTTTTCTTCTTCCCCTTTTTTCTCTTCTTCTACCTTTTTAGTTTCACATTCCCTGCAGAATATTAAACTTGTATCACTTGTCGGAAAATCATCATGAACGTGTGTTTCTTCCACACATCCACACTTCTCAGTTTCTCTTGATGTTAAAGTCCATCCCATATTTACTACAATACATATAGTTTTTATTCCTTTAATACATTTCTCCAAGAAATAGAATTAAATATTGAAATATAGTTATAGCATATAAGGGTATAAATGTTATAATCATAGTATGACTGAGAATTATGAATTAAACATAAAAATCAGCTATTTCTTCCAACATCACTATCTTCAGTGAATAGCGCCTCATTTCAGAAACCCTCGTTTCCATTTCAGGAACCCTTGTTTCCAAAACGGAAACACCTGTTCCAAAAAGCCATTTCCAAAACTGAAGCACCTGTTCCAAAAAGCCATTTCCAAAATGGAAACACCACTAAACATGTATTATTTCCTCATCCGAAATACCACTCTGAAATGTCCTGTTTCCAATTATCAAATACCAGTTTCCAATTAGGAAATACCAGTTTCCAATGAGGAAATACCCGTTTCCAATTAGGAAATACCAGTTTCGAATCAGGAAATCCCAATTCCCAAAATCTGAAACCAAAGTTTCTTGATTGGAAACCACTCAGGAAATGTCAAACTCATCAAAATGTCCAATATCAAACCACTAGGTATTTTATATAGGTCTTCTTGCTAAATAATTCTAATGAATTGATATTATTAGAATTTCTTAGATTTTAATTATTCAAATAATACATATACTCCATCATCATTTTTTGAAATTTTGTAAAACTCTAAGGTCTGTTGCTTTGGCGATTTAATTTTATTTTTATTAAGCATATTAAATATCCATATATTGTTTTTTATCTTCAAACGAACCAACTGGTCTACCTATTGATTTTTCTTAAAGATTTCAGCAATCCCTTCTTTACTTTTATTATCACCGGGCTCAACTGGTTTCATTTTGTCATCAATGGATTTAATCATATCATTTAAGGTTTTGATATTTTTACCAATTAATGGTATCTTCTTCATTGAATCGTTAATACTACAATTTTCATTTTCACACATTACTATATATTTATTTAGATAATTATTTATTTAGTTATTTATTTATAAAGTGCAATTATGTTAAATCTACCCTTTAAATACTAATTGTTCATCATTTGTTTAACAGTTTCCTGCGTTTCGTTTTCATTATTATCGGATGGTGTTGCTTGCCTACCCCATTTAAAAGTTATATCATGGACATCTGTTTCTAAGTTGATACTGTCTTTAGTTTTATCAATATTCATTTTCTTATCATTTTTACTTATTTTGAAACTTGTTGGAATACATGAACATTTACAATTTCCTTTC